GAAGAAGTTGTTAAAAAAAATAGAATTTTAATATTAAGAAATTAGTGGGGTGTTTATAATGATTTGACGCGTTTTTTTAAATTTGTAAAGGATTAATAAATAAATAATTGCATCGCCCAAGTATTAATTATCCAATACTATTGTATAAATTTTTTTTTTTAGTAATTTCAGTGGGTCTTAAAAAGGATGAATGATTCTTGCTCGAGTTTTGAGGTAAAATCATTCATTTTCTTTTCTATATCAGTCAGTGTTTTCATTACTACCATCTGGATTTTTGATAGATAATATAGATAGTCACAGAGTTTCACTTTTAAAAAATAAAATTGTCTATGTAACAGAGCTTAATAGTCAGATTTAATAGAACTACATTTTCCAACTTATGCCAGCGCAGTCTTTGCGGAGAGTTCTTTGAAGACAAAAAACTGGAATGCAAAATCCAGGACTTGGTTGTTGGAAACAGTTTTCCATTTTTATATTATAGGAAAGGAATACGACTCATATACCCTCATATTTGTAGATCCAGGTCAATTATGGTGGTTAAAGGACTTTTTACGATTGAGACCTCAAGATAATTCATATTTGGCTTCGTGCCCAATGGGGGCTTTCCAATAAAGGATCATCCATAATCTAAAAATAAAAGTTTGAAAATAAGATCAAAATTTTATTATGCAAAGTGGGTATGATGTCTAATCCAAAAATATTCCAAGAATTGTATGTAGTAGTAGCATTAACTCAAATTACTATTTTTACGTTATGATCCTTTTCTATTGAAAGGTCACCTATATTATCAATTGTTTGATAAAAATCATCTATTTAAAAATGCGCAGGCAGTTTGATTATTTATACAGGATCTTACTGAAACAGCTTTATCACCAAGTCTTAATTATTAGTTATAACTTTATTTTCAAAAAATCAAGATGACAATAAAATGCTAGAGATAAGAAATCAATTGTAAATACAGAAAGAGCACACGCGATCACGAATTTAATGTCTTTGTGTCTTGAAAATTGGAAGATCTGGTTCATGACCTTAGGTTTCTCAGGAAAAAGGTCAATAATAATAAAAATGTAATTTTAGATTAAAAAATTTATTACTAAAAAAACTTAAAGATGATGGATGGGACGAAAAAATTAAAAACCATTTATATGGTAAAAAAAAATTTTTCAATATTTCAATTTTCATCAAATTTTTAAAAAAAAAATTTTTTAATTTTTAATTAGAAATCATAAAAAAAGAAGGAATAGACAACGTAAATATAGATAAATTAGAAGAAACATTAGTAATATTTGGTAGAGGTAAGCAAGCAATCAAAACAAATAGAGGAATAAATAAACCCAAAAATAATTTTTAATTTTTTCGACAATTTCTGTTACACGTTTCTAGAAATTCTTCCTGATGAAGTTAATACGGAAATTTTACAAAAAATTGCTGATTTTTTCGATACGCAATTTTAAATCATGTGATTAAATTTTCTAAACGTTGATTGGATTGAATGTCTAGATAAATTACAGTTTCCTTCTTTTTAAAATAAATAAGTAATTTTAAATAAAATTGTATTGTACAGAGCTCATGTCCAAGTAAAAGTCTTTATGAGACTAGCGTCCAAAGAAAGGACGGTTCGATCTTGGACTGAACTGGACCATTTAATATCGCCGAGAGAGGTTGTCGCGTATACAGCCGCAGTTTTAGCTAGCTGCTAAAACCTCAGTTAAAAAGTGTTTGCACAAACTTATTACATCCACAATTCCATTATTACCTGACAATATTATTTTGTCTTGATTCTACTTTTCATTGACCTTATTGCAATTTTAATTATATTTATTCAAATGAAATAGCAATTTGGCTTTTTATTATCATCTTAATAATTAGTAATGTTTATATAAGCAATAATATTTTTTTAAAACTGGACTGGGCGAAAAAAAAACAAAAATCAGCATTTAATTCCAGCTGCCAGTGCCTGGACAAAAACTATCGGTCGCCGAAAATTTTGATTAAATATACATGATCAAATTTATAGCCCAAGTCCTTCAATTTCTAAAACTATTAAAAATTAAAATCTAAAACCCCCTGATGTAATTTTATTTAGTTGAAATATTTCGTTAAATTCAAA